CCCCCCCCCCCCCCCCCAATTGAAAAGAGCTTCCTACGGCCCTGTACAGCAACGCTTTAGCAGTGTTTGACCTTCCAACCTTGGTGGCAAGACGTGAATCCTTATGTTCAAACTTTATCTAAACTAATCCAAATTAATGCTCGAATTTTTACGCGGGCTGATTATAATGTTGCTGTGCTGAGATCTTCCGCACATTAGATTGGGATAATCTAGAGCACAGACGTTTTCAGCAATTCAAGGTTTTAATGTACAAGACAATCGATAAAATGGTACCCGACTATCTTTCAAACAACTTTACTCCAGCTAATACGATACATCCATAGATATCTTATATACACTAGATAGTGCATCTAATTATTCTGCAATTCAAAATTGAAGCCGTGATTGCAGACTCGGGATATTCCCATGAAATGAAAAGATTCGTATGGTTTCCATTTTTTAAACAGGGAACTTAAACATTTTAAAAGTTAAACCTGTTCCAAATACATTTTTAAACTATTCAAATGATGAAAGTTACTGTTGTTTTTTAAGCGTTTATTAGCGAGTGGGAAATACCAACATGGCCGCCATCTATTCAAATGGGGGTAACCGCTGGAATATTCTTGGCTTCAATTTTACTAAAAGAGATGCGCTATCTAGTGTATAAAAGAGATCTATATGGATACATCTGATTCCAAATTATTTGTCCCAAGACTATTAACTGAGTCACTCAAGAAAAGCTTTATCTATAAAGGACTTGTCCTGTGAAATAGCCTACCTGTCGAAGCAATTAATTAATACTAGGCTGTTAGGTTATTTTTTCATGACGTGGTTTGTTTGCGGCTCATGCAGATGAGGTTCATTTGCGGTGGTCGATCCAATGATCCAAGGTTTTAGGTTATTTCTATGCAATACTGTAAAATACATAACAGTGAAATGCTATTTCAGTACCTATTGAAATAAGCGTAGCCTTTCCATCAGGAAACACGTCCACCAGTCTGGCACAAAGTGTAGCCACAGGTTTATCAGAACTAATTTCAAGTTGTACTGATGGTGAACCAAGGATATCTATTGTGTCCACGACATCACCATGCCAACACCTGGACAGCCCGTCATCGCATGCCTGATTTTGGGCCAGATCAGCTGGTTCATTTCCAGGTATCATACACCCACCCGCAGAACCACAGGCAAAGGAACTAGGTATTAGCACTGTTTTTTCATTTCGCTCACCCACGGTGGAATCTAAGAAAGAATGAATTTTTGATTAGGCCAAATAAAAATAATAGTTGGTTTCAGGTTTCCAACCGACCTGTCAAAATTATGACCGACCATAAACATTTTATTGACATTTCCCAGTAGAGATAATCTTTTCGTAAATACTGAGCAGAATATATAAATAGTCATCAGACTCATTTGTCTATACAAATTAGTTTGTTTGCTTATAATTTAATCATTATCTAGTCATGTTAATCACAGTTTTACACAAAGAACAGTTGAATAAAATATTAAAAACGTAGCTACATTATTCCAGTATTCTGACATGGGATCTACGGCTAAAACTGAAGATGAAAATGCCTTGATGCGTTTGTTTCTCGCGAAACATATGTGGCTTGCATGTACTGTAACACGTTTCTCGCGAAACACGTGTAAAAACAATAAAAACTAAGAGTTTATAATGAGTTTTAACTTATATTTATTGCATACTTGAGATAAAATATTTTTTTAAATAAAATGTTTTTCCGACCTACCTATACCCATATAAAACATGGCTGTGAAACCCGAAACCACCTATTTTTTTATTTTGCCTTACTGTAAGATTCATACTCCATAAAAGTTACTTTTTTTTCAACCTGCAAATGCATTTGAAAAGGTAGCTAACTGTATAAACTAGAGAAAAAGCTAAAACAAGGGAGGTACGCCAAAGAGATTTTTGCTTTTGAACACCTTTCATCGCATGGAACATAGAAAAAAAATGGTCTCATAATCACCTTTAACTTCCTGTAATATCCCATTGTGAGATAATCCAAATTTCTTGGTTGAGACATTTGGGGATGGCCATTGTTCTTCAGCAATCCATCTTCCGGGCCAGATTTTCATTTTTGGTGACACAACAACACCTTTAAGATAAGAGAAAATCAATGTCTAATTATAATAGTATTTTCATACAACGCCTCGTTAAATTCTGAACATTTAATTGGCTGATTATGATCATGTGATATGGAATAAAAATTACTATTTTGCTGAGCGTGCAATGGCCACGCACAGCGTGTATTTTTGTTTTAAACCGACTTGAAAATTCGCACTACTCATTTAATGTCTTATATGGTTTATTTTTGTGAAAAGTAAACTTGAATTACTGCATTTTTGTAAACACAGTATTTTTCATAGGCAATATTTTAAAATTCTCATGACTATAAAGCCAAAATCAAAAGTGCCAACATAAATAGTTTTCTTTATAGTAATAAAAAAACAAACATCATATGTAGAAAGGCAAATAGCACTCTTGGCATCATATGACATCATATGACATCATATGACATCATATGACATCATATGTAGTAAGGCAAATAGCACTCTTGGCTTACTTAGAAGAATCCTTGGTGAATGTAGCGCTGCTGTTAAGTCAAGAGCGTATACTAGTCTTGTCCGTCCACAACTTTAGTATGCTTCTACAGTCTGGAACCCTTACACCAAGAGGAACATCAACAAGATCGAGATGGTTCAACGCAAAGCTGCTAGATTTGTCTTCAATGACTATTCCAGAGCTAGCCACGTCTCTCCAATGATCGACCATCTGGGTTGGGACAATCTCCAACAACGGCGACTGCTACACCAAGCCACTATGTTCTACAAGATCTATCAAGGCCTTGTTGGAATCAGTCTTCCTGATGACGTGTGTCCTTTGACTAGAGCATCCAGGCTGCCTAATATCTGTCCTTACCGCCAAATTCAGTCGAGTGTCAATGTATATAAGTTTTCATTTTATCCAAGAACAATCGTTACCTGGAATCACATCCCATTTAACAATCTTTGCCAATCAACCCCAAGTTTCAAAACACTTGCCATGCCTTCAATTAAGTCACTTAATGTAGCTAATTAGTATCGTTTCGAATCGTTTGTATTGTACTATATGTTCGTTTTGTAGTCTTAGAGTTGTTGTCGTTGTTGTTATTGTCCTTTGTCGCTTTTGCCATTGTTGTTGTTAATAACATATAACAACATCATTCTATAATCACCGCCTAATATATGTGTCATACAGTGATTATGAAGACTAATTTCTTGTAAATAAATATCATCTAGTTTTTCAGTATATATAACTCCTCCTAGTGTAGTATAATACTGTTTTAGGAGTATTTCATTAAAGCATTAAAGCATTAAATGCACCACGAAGACACAAGCGAGGTTGAAGGTCACACATCCGGTATCGAGTATCACATCAAGCCACATATTGTCAATTACAATTACAACTTTCGCGGCAAAGGAATCAGTGGTTATAACATATTTTGTTATATTTCAGACGCATTTTAATATTTTGGAAAAAAACTTCCGGCAATCGATAGATCTCCAGTCCGTGAATATAAATCAATAAAAATGTAAAAAATGATGAAATCAGTGTTTTCATCATATAATGTAACCTTAAACCTTTTTAAAGTCTTAGAACATACAAATCTTTATTTGCTGCCGCAGCGAGCGAGCCTGAAGCGAGCGAGCAAGGCAGCAGATCCTAATTTTGTTTTGTGGGTCGAAATCAAAATTTTCTATTTGGCGCATTGCATGACGGTACCAGTGAATTTTAACCGTGGTGCAGCGCGGTCAGGCATATTAAAGGCAAACAGGCAATGTGATCATCTTTCATCTTTGGTCTTCTTTTATGGAAAGCCATAGCTGGCTTAGAGTGATCAAACGGCATTTTGTTGGGTGCTTTTAGTATTATACGGCGGTGCTTTCGGCATTATACACGGTGCTTTCGCCATTATACGCGGTGGTTCCAGTATTATACGCGGTGCTTTCACCATTTATATACGCGGTGCTTTTGCAATTATACGCAGTGGTTCGAGCACTATATACGGTACTTTTAATATTATACGCGATGCTAGCTTTCATTCAACATTTCCATATTGTTTCCATGACATGTATATGATTTAACGATTGCTTAAATTTGGTATGTGGTTGACAAATGCTTTTTGCCTATGGTCTGCATGGACAATGACATGCTTTTCTGTGTATATACATGTAAATTAATATAACGCAGCGAATGCGCCAAACAGTATAAACGCGGCTGAAATACGATATTAAAATCTTAAATGTGCCGTATGATTTAATTATGTTTTAGGATTTACAAATGCTTTGTCATTTGTATTTATACTTGTACCGCATCACAAGGCAGTACGTAAGTGAAAAAATTCCACATGTGAGATTGTCTTGTATACATTTTTGCTTTCTTTGATAAACATTATTAATTAAACACGCAAATTTTAATTTAAACACGCAAATTTTAATTAGTGAGACGCAATGTTAAATGTCACCTGCATGTCATTGTCATTGCCCTTTAACCCCTGGTCTAATTGGCCGCTTTTGAAAATGTTGATCATGACGAACCGCACTGCCTTAATTATGCAAACTTTGTGTTTTAAAGAGGGGTTAGGATAAAACGCGGATACGGACGGACGGATGGTGACGGACGGACCGGATGACATATATATGTCATTATATAGTCTGCTCGCAGCCGCGCAGGGTAGTTAGTGGCTTACGTCTTCGCTGGTTGTTATACTTTAAAATAATTTTGTATATACCGAGAAATCAATATTCCGAGTATATAAATATATAAACTGGGATGTCACACTGATAGCTTGTTTACATTTCCTGGAGCATCATGAAATCTTATGTTTAACCACGGTGGTTTAACCCATTAGCTGGCAATGCGCCCTTCCCTTGTCCAACGCCAGAAGATTTTACTCGTCAGTGGTATAGGGTACTGCCAGTAAATTGGTTAACAAACCTATCTGCCAATGGCTCTTGTTAATTCATTAACACAGTAATGACCCCTACTTTAGTATTTACCCTGTCCAACGCCAGACGATTTTTAATACTCAGTCAGTGGTAGGGTACTGTCAATAAATGGGTTAACAAGGATAACAATACCCTGTAGTTTGTCTTTTGCTGTCAAAGGCAGCATTACTGCCCTGTGGGTAACCTAGTCTATATTAATGAATTACTTTTTCTACGTCGTGCGAGGCTTCAAAATCCATCAATACGCATAGAAGAACGGGGCTGATGTTTTCTGGGGGGGAGGGGGGGCAGTTGAAAGTTTGCCCGAATTTTTATGGAGAATTGTAAAGAAATAACCTGATTTTAACATATTTTCTCATAAATCTGCCCGAATTTTCTTGATTTTTCCTAGCGTTTGCCCGAATTTCCATGGTTTTCCAAAATTTTGGGGGGCAGTTGCCCCCTCCCCGCCCCCTGTCTCGTACGCCTATATCAATAAGGCATTTACAACATGAACATAATACGAAGCCAAAGTGAAAGTGTGAAAGAAACTAAAGAAAGCGTGCTAATTCTCGTATTTTACTCGTATGTACTCGTATTTTACTCGTATGTACTCGTACGTACTCGTATTTACTCGTATGTTACGCGTGTGTACTCGTATGTTACTCGTATGTACTTGTATGTACTCGTATGTACTCGTGTGGTGTTTTAGTCACGATCGTATATAGTTCAACATTCAAGTTGGACAGCTACAACGCATGTTCAAAAAACATTCGTTCATCATGATCTATTATCAGGACATATTCATGATATTTACATAAACATTAGCTTCGATTTACTCGGCTACAACTAACCATATCGCCAAAATAGTTGGTTAACTTGACTTAGCCCAATACACTTAATATATTTCAAGCAATACAAAGTATTCACATCCAATCTGTATATGCTGGTCCTTCTTAGGTTACAAAAAACCCCCCAAAAATTGTCAAATTAAAAGTTCTTTGTAGATTGAATTTTCGAACTTAAAATACACTTATACACAATCACGGGAATACTTACTTGTTGTACTGCTAAAGTGCTATCCATTTCTTCAAAAGGCTCATCAGGCCAACTGTACATTGCCTATATATAAGAATAACATTGTAAACATTTTAGTGCAATTTGTTACTGTCTAAATAGCCAGTAAATGACCCAGGGAGTAAAGCAGGGGGTCAGGGTTGCCCCCCATTAATTCCTGAAAGCCTTTCAACCCCTTAAAACCGCCAAGGCTAGTTGTAATTCTTCTTGCTAAACGTCCCTTTTATCAAAGTTTATCACGATATGATGGAAACTAAACAGACTGAACTGAAGTCACTGTGTAATGTTTTTGTATCAGTTTAAGTTTTTTTGTTAATTTGTGCACAGTCACGGTGATTGCACTCATTGTATTGAGGTATAGTCCGTTAGGGATAGCAGAGGTGAAACGTGCATGCAACCACATGTAACCATAATATTTAATGAAGTTGAGACAAAGGATTTGTCAAACAAAGGTCTTCTATTTCGTGGTTTTGATATTCGCCAGTCTACCATACCGACATATACAATCTCGTTCCCCGAGCCTGCGATCCTCGGGAAGGAACGTGAGGCTCTGGGATAATCCGTTTCAGGGAGGAATCTGATTGGCCGTTGAAATGGAATGCGCAGTTCAATCTTAGCCAGGATTCCTGGCTTCCGGCAACGGATTATCCCAGAGCCTCACGTTCCTCCCCAAGGATCGCAGGCTCTGAGAACGAGGTTGCGTCATACATTGACTGACTATGTTTTTATCTTGCCCAGGACAAGCGTTAGATTACATCACTGTCATACTGTGTCAATATAGACCACAGTATCGTATACAAATAGCGGCCAGGTCGACTTCTAAAGTAATATCAGTTAAAATATTTGCGGACATTCCGAGTTTTAGTTTACTAGATAAAGGCATGCATCATGCGTGCTAGTTTTTCAGGGAATGAGCGAGAGTTATAACATCTCATGCATGCAAATTTCGCGTTTACGTTCCGTTTATACGTGCTTCGGTACATGTCAACTATTAGGCTAGTTGACCTGCATCTAAGGACGGAAGAGTTGACCTGCATCTAAGGACGTAAAACCTCATTAATATAATTAACGCGACGAAAGACACGCAAAGTCACTGTTTCTTATTGGCTCTCACTATATGACCTATATACAAAACATGGTTATACGCAATGTAGTAAGATTCTATTGGCTGTTGCATTATCTGTCTTATATGTTAAATATGTTGTCCTGAGTTATTTGTTTTGTAATTTGCATGGTCATGAAATACATTATAGGCAATAAATCATTAGGGTGTCCCCAAAAATTAAAACGAAAACTACTGAAATAACGTATCGTTAGAATTTGAATGCCTCAGAACTCTGCTCAACCCACACGTGCATCAAAGCTTGACGTAAGTAAATTTTGTGCATACATAAAGAAATGTTTAAGAAGCTGTTTTAAATTCCCAAGAGCAAAAAATCGTGCGCTTTACAAAGATATTTTAATTTCTTAATAAGTCAATATTTAATATATGCACCCATGTAAATATTAGTGCTAGGCCATTCAAATTTTAACAATACGTTATTTCAATGGTTTTGCGGGGTTTTTTGGGACACCCTGCATACTGTACAGTGTGTCTAAAAAAAAAGTGAACCCTTTCAAATTCAAATTAGCTATAACGTATTGCAGTAATTTGACAGCTTTGATTGCTTTGAATTATGGTTGGGTAAGAACACAAGGTCTTGTACTCATGGGACAAAAATCAAAGATTTAAAAATTTAAACGTTTTTAAGACTTTGTCCCATGAGTACAAGACCTTGTGTTCTTACCCAACCATTAATTCAAAGCAATTAGAGCTGTCAAATTACTACAATACGTAATTATAGCTAATTTGAATTTGAAAGGGTTCGCTTTTTTTTTTAGACACACTGTACAGTACAGTATGCAGGTATGCTCGCAACCCACTGTAATCTGCCCAATGAGATATGTTTTTAGTCTTTACTATTACTACAAAGCCAAAGGACAATTTGTATAGATAGAAAACCTATACTCGAGCTGCGTGCCTGAGCTAACTCATATTCTTTGACATGACTCAAATTGATTGTGAAGCACGCTTGCAGTCTGTACTGTAGAAGCTCACAGTATAAGATATGCGTATATGAACTAAATCTAGTGACATTAAAAATACTATACTTCCCAACGGTATATACACCGATTGTAAGTTTAAACTTTTGTATATCTTCAACGAAACCCCAGGAAAATTTCGTGAACAGTCCATATTTTCAAGATCAGTTTATAACTACATCATTATATATCTTTATTTAGGGGCCGACCATTTAACTTTTGAGGGGGAGGGGGTGATTTACTGCTGGAAGGGAATTTTTTTCTGGGATCGTTATGCGCAAGATTTTTTCTTCCTATCCCATCACCATGTACGATATTTTTTTGCCACTCTCTCTTTCGCAGCATTTTTTTTCAATAGCTTATACTATTTAGATTCTTTAATAATAGTTAACGTTGAGTTTTCTAGCTTCATGCATTGCTTTTAATAATACATATTGCTATGAGGTATAACATTTGGTTCGGGGCCTCTTTAAGAATGTGTAACTGGAGGGGACATATTTAGCGGGGGACCTGGAGAAGTTCCAGTCGGCAAATCTGAATCACTGCAGCTAGCAGCATATATATGCATGGTTTAGCTAATAAGTATACGTCATAGGGCAGCAGATCAAGCCATAACTAGGATTCTGAGACAACCCAGTCGACCACCGAAGGTGCAAGCCTCCAGAGGGGTCTGAGGGTATGCCCCCCCCCAGAAAATGTTGGATTTCTTGAAGCTCAGATAAGCTATTTCCTGCATTTTGAGGAGTTTTCCAACAAGAAATTAACCTTACACTAGTCTCCGAAAATCAAACCAGCGGATCTTCTGGGACTGGTCAAATCGATCCGTGCAACCATGCTGTTTTGCAACACTTTTTTCCCACCAAATACTGGGCAGGATATCCCCCCTCAGTTTGTAAGTGCAGGTATTTTTTTTTACAGAATAGCCTTGCAGGAATTTTTTTTCAAAATCACCCCCCCCCCCAAAAAAAAAGAAGTTAAATGGTCGGCCCCTTATATAATTATCTTCATCTGACCATCCAACCGTAAAATCCACACTTATGTCGCTATTATGCACCTTATTAGCACATAGCCTTTATGTAACCAATCAAATTTGAGATTTTATCTATGCAAATTTTTGGAATATAAGCTCGTTTACGTCCTTAGATGCAGTCAACTATCAATACAATATTTACAAAACAACGTTGGCTGTATAGACAAGTATCAAGGTTTGGTTTTATCGGTTACCACAAAAGACAACGTACGGTAAGTAATGAGTCAACATGTGCGTGTATAGAAACATATTCGTTGCTCAACCATGCCGGCTGAAAATGCCGATGTGTAAATAATACTAACTAATAAATTTTGACTTCAGGAATCAAGGTTATATATTAATTATTTTTAGCATTGCCTTTTGTCTTACTTGTTAAGCCTCGAGATAAATTAGACAAGAGATAGTCCACATTCGCACCATTATAGAAGCTAAGAACACTCTTAAATATACAGCATGCAACATTCAAACAGACTCATGTTATTATGTGGCATTTAATAATTTACAATTTTCGCATGAGATTTTAGAACTGTAAAGGAAACGTAGGTTGTTTATACGGTTGTATATCACTGATTTATACTTATTATTAACATTAAAACGGCAGCCATCTTTGATGAAATACGAGATTTTTTCGTTGGAATTGCATGGTGCCACGTACTATACAAACTTGAGACTTCTTTTATTGTTTATTTTGATCTCCAGCCGAATATGAAGAACACGAAATTAAAATTAACAACTAGGATATCTGCAAGGTAGGGATTGCTGCAGGCATTAAGAGCACTTAGACCATGATCACATCCACTCAGCCAATCAGAACGCAGTATTTCGGTGGTCTATATCCCATAAACTGTCTCGTAGCGACCTTTATAGCAATTACAGTGGTCTACAGGGTGTCCCAAAAAACGAAAACTATCGAAATCACTATTGTTAAAATTTGAATGCCCTTCCAAACAGCTGAACGTAATGATACGTAAAATATTGACAAGGTGCATGTATTAAAATTTAGTTAAAAACATCTCCTTGTAAAGAGTGTGCGATTTTCTGCTCTTGGGAATTTAAAACAGCTTCTTAAACAGTTTCTTTATGCATAAAATTTACTTATGTCAATCATTTATGCACTCTTGGGAACCAACAGAGTGCTAAGGCATTCAAATGCTAACAATTAAATTGCTATTGGTGATTTCAATAGTTTTCGTGGTTTTTTTTTTACAATAACACCTTTGTTGCTTGTGATGTTACTCTGAGTGTATATCCACACCGGGCAGGCTTGAAAATATGCCTGGCCACGGTGGGAATCGAACCTACGACCTTTGGAATACTAGCCCAATGCTCTGCCAACTGAGCTACGCGGTCAGGTCGGTTCGAGTATGTGATATTTCGGAACTGAGTCTAGTTCCTTCGATATCAGTGTAATCTAATAATCATGATATTTGCTGTGTTGGTGTAGTGTACTCAGGTGAATAAGATGCTTGTGATGTTGCTCTGAGTGTATCTCCACACCGGGCAGGCTTGAAAAATATGCCTGACCACGGTGGAATCGAACCTACGACCTTTGGAATACTAGCCCAATACTCTGCCAACTGAGCTACGCGGTCAGGTCGGTTCGAGTATGTGACACCAACACAGCAAGATTATTGGATTGCACTGATATCGAAGGAACTAGACTCAGTTCCGAAATAACGCAACTCGAACCGACCTGACCGCGTAGCTCAGTTGGCAGAGCATTGGGCTAGTATTCCAAAGGTCGTAGGTTCGATTCCCACCGTGGCCAGGCATATTTTTCAAGCCTGCCCGGTGTGGATATACACGCAGAGTAACATCACAAGCATCTTATTCACCTGAGTACACTACACCAACACAACACCTTTGTTATTCAAATTAGCCGCGCGAAGGTATCAGGGTTTTTTTACTCACCCTGTATACAGGGTGTCCCAAAAAACCCGAAAACTATTGAAATCACTATTGTTAAAATTTGAATGCCCTTCCAAACAGCTGA